TCTCTCTCCCTCTCTCTGGAGGGAAACGACTTTCCTCTCTTCCTCACAACATGAAGCCAGAGAGCATCCCGACTTCAAGAGCTTTAGATCCTGAATATTCACGCTGGTGGCATTTTACCATGTGTAGGCGGTGAGGGTTTGCAGAGATAGGAGAGAGTGTGTGAAGTATTGATCACTGGTGCTGTTGTCCTTATATGCTCTGTGTCTCACAGTGCCAGCTAACTCTCACAGAAAGGCAGAGTCACATAAATACAGAGGCAGGGTTGGCGTTATAAGGCGCGCTTATTCTACTGGGGAATGAGATGAACACAATTAGGATGAATTAAGAGGGATATGTTTAAAACAGCAAAGGGATGATGCATGCGACGCATAAAAGGAGGCCACATGAATACTATTAATTTTTGTTTTCCTGTGCGTCAGTTTTAGGTGCTACAGCTTAACAAGCCTGAATTATATAACGATGCATTTACACAGGACTGGTTTTTGGTTTGATTTTAGCACGGCTGAGTGTCTTACTGATATTCAAAGCACATCTTCATTTTTAGAATCACACCTTCTTCTCTAACTTTAACTGGTGTTAGTTGAGGAACACCAAGAAAAAAAATCTCACTGTCTGATACTTAAACTGTTAGATGTCAACATTTTCTGAAGTTCAACAGCTTCAATTGTGCCATGATCAAATACAGTAAGTCTCTTTGAGATTCACTCTTTTCCTACAACCTGCCTTGTCTCACTTTAATTCACTCAGCAACTTCTTACATATCACTGAATGACTATTAACACAGTAGTCAAAGTCAAATGCTGTTTCTCAAACTGTATACTTCCAATATACACCAATGGTTCCTAAGGCACACCAAAGGGGAAGCCAAAGTCTCAAGGCACATCTGTATTAATCTCTGTGCACAATAGCTTCTTTAAAGTGTGTTATCACTCTTATCATGACATAATACAATAACAATAAGTTATTAGTAACAAGTAGCTTTCATGATACCTTCTACTGACAGTTTTTTTTAAATCTCCTTTCTGTCGGCGGTAGGTCGTCTTGGCTGGTGCTTTGTTGTAATTTGCTCCGTACAATCAAGCGATCCATTTTCCCACTCACGGCTTTCTCCTTTTAAACATGGTCATTTCTCACACTGGCTGCCAGTCAGGGCTTTTGATGTGTCACACGCTTATACCTGCCACATGCAAATGGTGACAAATAGGTTTCACATGAAGGTTTTTTAAATTGAATTCAGTTAAAGTACATTTCTTAGCAAGAGTTTGATAGCAAGAGCTGATACTGTCAGTTGAAAATTAAGTTTTGAATAGGCCTTACTGAATACTGCAATAATAGGCTAATGTGTGGTTATCATGCAATCCCACGGCACACCTGGATTGGCATCATGGCACACACCATTTGAGAGCTACTGGTATACACTATGTACTTGCTTGCGTAGCGCGCAAATTGTGACAGGGTAGTGTTGTCTCAAATGAAATATGGCCGGTGCACACTTAACGTAAATGACGACTGGAGGATTTGATAGCTTTTCTATCTTTGCCTGGCGAAATGCAACCTGGTGGAGCATCAACACAACATCTGACGAACGATTGTCACTCGAAAATATATGGCTGCTAAATCTGCTTGTTTGCTCACTTGACTTCTTCTATATCTATTTATTTGTTGTATTAAAAATGAAAATTTCATCTGCTATTTTAGCATCTGAGCACAAATCTAATACTAAAATCACATACAGTGAAGACAACAATTTAACATGCATCAACACCAAAGGTAACTTACTCCCACAGATCATATAACTTACACCACACATGTAACGTCAGTGCCTGATGACATAATGTGCCACTGTGAACTAGCTAACAAGCTAAAATTAACATTCATGTTATCGTTTGTGGTACCAAATTGCAACAGAATTAACACAATAAACAAAACTGATCATTATCCAACAACAGTATAGCGATAGTGAAACATACACATGTATATTTGTACAATGCTTTGGAGTTCACTGTGTAATCCTTTTACCTACGTAGGCAATATGGCGATCAGTGACTCAACTTTTTGATGTTATGAGCGCAACCTCTGGGTCCTCTAGTGTACTGCATTTTGCCATACTTCTCAGTGTGAACCCACTTATGCACTTAAAATATAAAGTATAAGTACACAAGTACCCAACATGAAACACAGCATATGTTTATAGCAGTGTCTCTTGGTTAAAATGAAACCTATCTTTGTTGCTGCAGTGCATTGTGGTCTATTAAGACTCCTGCTGGTGAAGGAATTGTAACATTGGTGTTACATTGGTATCAGTAGGGACCATCCAGACATCAGTTATGTGTGGGAATAAGAAAAATCCTCCAATAAACAACAGAATGGAAGCAGAGATTCAAGGAGGATAGCCAGAAGCAGTTAGGATTGATTTTTTTCACCGAGGTCTTGATATTTGTGGGATAAATTTAAGTTGTTTTCAGAACTCTAATTTTATAGTGCCATAAGCGCCCACCTGATTCACACTGCTGAACCTCCAAGGAAAGATTTTGTAGAGGCAGATCTACTGACCTGCCTCATGCACTACATCTGTGGGAGAAAGAGATTACCAAAACAGACTGAAACAATCTGAAAATGTGTATTTTTGATGTTTTTTTTCCCTCTTTCTTTTCATTTCTCCCTCTCTCAGTCTTGCTGGGCCTCCATTGTCCTCCAGCAGCTCTTTAGTTACAGTATTTGCCTGTGCTCCATCATTGTCAATTAGGCTCCAATCCCTAACTGGGATGATTTGTAGCTCCAGGCTATTTGACTAGCTACAAGCTTTCATTATAACACAATGCTACAGTACTAGCTCATGAACTGCCAAACCCAAGTCATCACAGATTTACATATCAAACCCAGCTTTTTCATCAGAAGTGTTCCTTTCTCAACAAAACAGCCACAGAAATGATTTTTTTAACCACACAAAACAAATAGAACAAATTGTGTTACTTTTCACAGATGAGCTTTGCTGATAAGGCAAGGCAACAATACTCAGAGGGATGATCCATGAGGTCAGACCTGTGAGAACAACATAACACTTCAGTCCAGTGCATAGTCATAGTCACAACTTACTGTACAGAAACACTAAGTTACAATTATTTATACTAATATATATAATAAAATGGAAACATTTTAAACCAAAAATGCCATTACATCAATAAATAACATTACAAAACATGAAAAATGGCACTAGAATTGGTGATAATAATGCAAAATAAACATATAAGCACTGTAGTATTTGACAACAGAAAAAAAGCTTTTCCTTAGATTTCATCAAATTTTAATCTGTCTTGATCTGTGTCCATTATTTGACGTGCTTGAGCAGATGATTCATGGAGAAAATTGAGTTGCAATTAGGAATTCAGTTCTTGAGTAGTTCTGCTCTTACTATATCTCATCAAAGGTTCCTGTGTTATCTTGGATCTCCTTGATCCCCCATCATTTGGTGTTCCCCAGGGATCTATCTTGGGTTCCCTGTTTTTTTTCACTTTACATGTTGTCTTTGGGGTATCTTTTTTTGAACAAATAGCAATTTCATACAAAAGATAGTCTGCTAAATGTTCTTCTCAAAGCCAGTGAAAATGGTTCCTTTGTCTTAAAGCATGTGTTGGATGTTTAGTGATGGATGTCACACAATTCTCTGCACCTCAATCAATCTGAATGAATTCTAAGACACTTTTATTTCCATCAGCATGTTCCAAATAAATCCTGGCAGCTTGTCCACTATTGTCAAGTATGCCACCTGTAATTTGGGCATGCTTTTTAATTCCCTTTTATATACACAGGGGTTGTCTAATTGAGGAACACAGCCAGAATACAAGTTTTTTTTACAGTTTGGAAATAATAATCCATCATGGCTAAAATTTTTGTACTGGACTCAGTCAGAAAACTGAATTTCTTTGATTCAAATATTTAGAAATCACACTGTAATCAATTAAACCTGAGACGTCATGCCCATGCCTGCCTTTTTTTAGAGTAATCTTTCAGTAATAATTCTATCATCAGCTGGTTGCGGTATTTGTCTGTTAGAAATCAAACCTTGACAGAATCAATACAACTGAAAAAACACAGGAAATTGACCATCCCACGTGAATACCTCTTAGTACAGAAAATCTTTTGCAGGTGGAGGGATATGAAGCAACACATTCTGCATGTTTGTCAAGGTGCGCCTGTTTGTGTAGTAAATATTAATGTGTTGCCAGGTCGTTGAATTCTGTGTATATATTTTCCATGTGTATATTTTTACACTGAGGGGGGAGTTTGGGGAGATCTTTTGGCCCCTGATCTGACTGACGTATCCGGGCCATGCTCTACTCTCTGCTTTGCTCCCTTCTGTGTGTTCTTGGAAACATCGTCAGCCTTGTGTTGCCCTGCCAGGCCCTTGAGACAACTCCCAGTATATTTCTGTCTCAGAGGCGTGTGCGAATGTTTGCTTGTTGTCATGTGTGTCTATTTGCCTGTACATGTCATCCCTCTGTGCGGCTTTCGGTTCAACTGTGTGACTCAGTCAACGCTGAAGACAAAACATTTGTGTCTTTTGAGTGACATTATGAATTTTTCTTCTCCGCTCTGCAAAGTTTGGAAGTGTGGCTGTTTCGGGACATAAACATACTGTGATGGATCATGACAAGAAACTTCATTGCTCAACTACCAAATTGCCAAAATTCAATAGCAGTTGCAGAATTCAATAAGTGCAGCTTTACTGGAGGTTTTTATGTGACAAATGACACAAATCAAAGAGATTTGTCAGAGGAGAGGCAGAAATCTGACGGCAGTGATTGTTAGTCACCAACTTCCTCGTCTCACTCTCTGTCCCCTGGAGTCATGATTGAACCATACTGGAACCTGTTCTGTTTACCTCTCTCTGTCTTACTCATGCACAACCTCCACTTACAAATGCAAGTTGATGAAAAAACTCTCTTGTTCTCTCTCCCTCCTCCACACTGCTCTCCCCCTCTGTCCCTGTGTTGTCTAGATGGAGGAAGTAATAGCACGCATGCAGGACGAGAAAAATGGCATCCCCATCCGAACAGTGAAAAGTTTTCTAACCAAGATCCCCAGTGTTTTTTCAGGTAAGGCTTTTATCTCTCTGCTCTGTTGCGCTCTTCTCCTCTCCTCCCTCCTCTTCCTCTCTTCTACTTGGCTCCCGCCCACTAAGCACCCGACTAGTACTTCTCTGTTCTGGCCAAACAAAACACTGAAAGTATTTAGAGAGTGTCCGTTTTGCATTTCACACTAGCAGTGCCAGAATGTCAAGAGGATCATATTGGATTTTCGAGCTGCGCAACCTAATAGATAAGAATCCATGCTGGAGTGATACTCCATAAGAGATTATTCAAGTTCAACACTACATTGAAAAACTAAGAGGAGTGAGACCTTCATCACTGTCGTGCATTATATGCTGTAATATAGACTTACAGTAGAAAACCTACAGTATGACAGTAACAAATTAAAGGTCCAGTGTGTGGGATTTAGGGGCATCTCTTGGCAGAAATGGTACATAATATTCATAACTTTGTTTCCTCTAGTCTATAATTATATGAAAATAAGAATCCCTGAGTTTATTTCTATGTAAGACGCAGGTCCCCTTCCACGGAGTCCGCCATGTTGTTTCTACAGTAGCCCACATTATTCATACCAGTGGTTCTAGACAGGGCTATTTGCATTTTGGCATCAGCCACTGTTGTTCTCCTACATGCTTGGCATACAGAAGAAGTTTCAGCTCTGCAACCTGACTGCTAGACTGGGACGGGAATCTCCGGGAAATATGCCTGAGTTTGAATTTGAATTTTATTAGCACACAAGAAGTGATAAAAAAAACAAGTATATCATCAGCTGCTCATTTACAACTTTTGCCACGATATCTCAAAAAGGTTAAAGTCCCCCTCCACTCAAACATGATTTAGCTTTTTTGCTACTTCACTTGGATGTTTGACCTTAACTGTGCCAAATGATTTTCAGTTTGACACTTGAAGGTGAAAACTCTAGGATGTCAAATCTATTCTAATACAAAAAACAGTATTTCTCTCTTAAACATGAGAATATAACAGACAGAACAAGCAGTTTTAATAATTATAAATGAAACAGACACATACACATAACACATAAATTGTTCAAAGAACTCACATTAAACAAAAATGGTGTCATTTTTTGCCCTCAAAAAGGCAAACCCATCTCCATCATGGTTTTCTTTAACAAAAGCTATAAAAAAAAAAAAAGTTAAAAGAATAATTTCCTATTTTCTTTTGTAGTTTTTGTCATATACAGATACGTAATGATGATTGCTGGGTGATATGTATGTTAATGTTGTCCAGTATCAAGTCTCTGTTCAGTCATGTAACGAGACAATACGATTTACAGCAGCTAGTGTAAGTGCAAAATCTCTCAACACTAACACGCTGTTCAAATCTTCAAGCAGATATAACATAAAAGCGGCAGTAAGAAACACTGTTGGGGGGCGTTGGTGGCTTAGTGGGTAGAGTGGGCGCCCCATGTACAGCGGCCCGGGTTCAGGTCCGGCCTGTGGCCCTTTGCTGCATGTCATTCCCCCCTCTCAAAAAATATCTAAAAACAAAAAAAAAAAAGAAACACTGTTGGTAAAATACATATATGCCAAAAACTCTGTGTGTGTGTTTCATAACGAGTAACTAGGGCGCACAAGGGCCCGTTATCATAGTGTTCACTGGGGCCCATCGTTACTACCTAACACCGCTGACTGAGCGGACACTGCAAAAGCGTTTTTGAGGGGAAACAGACTGAGCAGAGACTTTCTTTCTTCTTCACAGAGGTGTTTTAAGTTGGCTAATGCTGCAGTGTGCTGTCAGCCAGTCTAATTTGTTAACATTACTGCTCCGCTCTGTTAAGTTTGTCTCTGGGTGGTGGCCTAAAAAGTATTCACAATATACTTCACATTCACCGCGCAAATGCAATTATATAGACGTTAATTAGTTAGTTTGCTTGCACTGCAGACTGTCCAGGTGCTGCACTGTTCTCGTGTTCCGCCTCTTTCGTTCCATCAACATCATGATTTTAAAGGACATTTAGATAATCGATTATTGATATTTGTGAATCGATGCCCAATTGTCCACGTCCACACTACTGAATCGATCATTTCCCCCAGCCCTACTGCTCAATGCCACTGAACCCCACACACTGGACCTTTAAAAGCCTGTATCAGCTCATAAATGTTGGAGCTTTACAGTGCAACAGTATCAAAATCTTGATAAATTATTAAGGATTTATAAAAGTCTACTGATGCATTAATAATCCAATATGGCACTGCTCAGATTTTCCCATAACTGCTTGCTCCTGCCAGCCTCACCACTGGTCACCATCACTGCTAACTAAAAGAGCCACGCTCGGCTTGTCACAACCGGTGACATGTCTAGGTCCTTTCTGACACGGATGAAAGGCTGGCAGCGAGCACCAACATATAGACACAGATAAATTTAAATAGCTAATTTAAGCGTGAGTGACGTTAGTGAAACAACGGCAAATTCTTCAGGCGTATAAAGGGCAGCTGATGCTCAGTTCTTTTTTTGTCGATGGTTTCCTTTTTCATGCCAAGTCTGCTGCGCAGTGTTTGTGTGTTTGTCTTTGTTTAAAACAGCGGGAGGTTGTATTGATTAATGATTTCACATCCAGCCAAGCCACATCAGCCCAGATCCATCTCTGTCCCGTCTTCCGTCAGATATTATACAATCAATTCAGCTGGCAAACAGCTACACTGGCTACGTCTGTGGGAACATGACAGAACTGCAACAGATGGCTTGTATTACCTAACTATAGTACTATACTTAGGGCCTAGACTTCATGCACATGTCATAATCACACACATTACTATATATTTTTGTCAAAATGCATGCACTGGTTTTTAAGATGGCATCATTGTGGAGCAGAAGCAGTGTCAATGTTCTCAAGTGGATCAGAATTTTTCTCCAAGAGTGTAATGCTCAGACTTCATGCCACCCACACCAAAACACGAGTCCCCTGGCAGTTTCTAAGGCTGCAGCAAGGACACAGTCCCTCTGTAGCTTCCCCTCTGTAAAACTGCCACTTGTGTTCAGTGGAGCAGCAGCCAAGCTGTAAGCACAACAGTGGAGGATGTAACCAGCAGCGTGTTTGTGCTCTGCACCACTTTCTGCAGCATGGATTTTTCATAAAATACAAAGATTTTTCCACTTGCCAATTTATTTATTTGTTACAGTAAGAGCACCTGCTCTCAAATGACTAGTGCTGACATAAATACAGTGTCTATGTAGATCCCATCCTCAGTGTAGGTTTCATAATAACACTTCCTTATTTAGCTGGTGAGCCGGGTTAGAAAATGTGTCATTAAATGTCATAAACCTTGTAATCACACAGGTGCTCGTGCTTGTATATGTCAGCCACATATTGTTGGGAGTATAAATAACACACTTGAACTGTTAGGCCCTATAGGTATAGATACTGTATGTGTTGGGTGTCCTTCATTCCTTAAACTGAACAACAGACCTAGGCCTATTGTTTAGAAACAACTCTGCTGCTCTCTCATTAATGAGAGATCCGTCTTTTTTACAAAATTTGCATGCACCATTTACAGTATATTTCACATTTTCTCCTTTAATACTCTTCTGCACACTGAGCCTAGCTTTTTTGAAACAACTTCTGCCTGCATTATTTTTGTCTTCAACTCATTATGGTTCTGCTAATTTGATTTTTAATGCCTCTAAATATTGTTGTTGCTTTCCCTCGTACTTCATTTGTACTTGTGTTGCTCAAGTATTAATTCCCAGCTGCACACGTTGCCTTTTGCTGTACTTTTAACTGCAGCAGTTATCCAATATTTGCCATCACTGGGATCATTCATTTTTGATGCCATCGCTTATCACTCTGCATTATTGTCACATTCAGATGCATGCTGGCGCCCCCACACACACATGCACAGCCCAATCTATGAGCATGATATTAATCAATTCGGAAAACATCCTTGTTAGAGGATTACCTTACACATCTCATTTAAGCTCTCTCTTAGAAAGTGGGTCAACTTTGATAGTGTGAAAATGGGGTTGTATTAATGATGTTAATCCATGGAAAATCTCATCTGGTTATGGGGGCGCCGAAAAGCAAAGTGGGCGCGGTGAAGACAAAACGCAGACAGACAGAATGATAGCTTGATGGACAGAGAGACAGCCACAGGGACTGACTGTCTCACTGCATGAATTCCCTCATGTCTCCGTTTCACACCTTTTTTTTTCTGCCTTCTGTGGCTCTCTTCTCCTCAACATACCTTCACCTGTCAGCATGACAGACAGTAATAATAGCTTGGAAAATATATATTTAGCCAAAGTGCCAAAGTCACATGTTGTGGTGGGGTGTGAAAATGCCCGGGGGGCAGAGGATGCTGTTATGTTTTTCTGAGATGTGAAAAATGATTCAGTTGTACTCTCAGATGTAGAAGATGAATTGCAAAATGACACGCAGCATATGAAAAGTTTGATGTTCAAACAAGAACAAGTGATATACAAGTCAACTCCAGACCTTTACTCGAAATAGTTTGATGATTGCATCGTGTTTTTTATAACAAACGGTGTCGTGTCTTGTCTTCTGCTCGGTTTTATTTAAATGCACTCTCCTCTCCTCTCTCCACGCCGCAGTCTGACCTGTTTACATCTTAGTTTTTATTTGTGACAGTTTGAAATGTCTGGTGTGATGCATTGACTTATTAAACCAAACAATTGCAACTGCAGTGTCTGTGCTGTGACTGAGTCAGACAAATTGTGTTGTTACTGTACACAATGGATGCTTCATTATGCCATTCTACCTCTCTGGTCATTTATATTAATGGACTGCAGCCAAAGAGAGATGGCTTGGAGAGGGTGTCAGAGAAGAAAATTTGGTAATGGATGGTCTATTACCCACCCACATGGTGCAAGGCGAGAGGAATTGGTATGCACTGTGATGATGAGGGGCGGTGGGCAGGGTTAAGAGTGTCATTGTTTTCCCTTTCATTTGCATCTACATGCAAGAAGATATTTCAGCACACTGTGAATATATTAAATACAGTATGTCAGCGATTCATATTAATGTGCCTTCTCTCATTACAGGTTCTGATATTGTACAGTGGATGATCAAGAACCTGGACATTGAAGATCAAGGTAAAAAGGCCGATCAATAGAGAGTAAGACAGAGGGTGTGTGCGTGGGCGTGAGGAAAAGATGCTGCTGGGTACAGTTTGCATCCAGGGCTGTCTGCCAGAAAGCTCAGTCTCTGTTAGGTTTAGGGAAAAAATATTATTCTTTGGTTTAAAATAAAAGATTTCTGCCAGTAAGGGCGTTCTGGCAAAAGGCCTGAAGGCTGAATTCTTCCATTTGCGGCAAAGACACTGCATGAGGTGAAATGGACAGGTGCGCACAGGTGCCACAATTAGCGTTAAAAATCACACTCGTGCTCCTTCTCACAGTCATAACTCAAACAAATATCAACACAGAGACATGAGACACATATTTTTAGATTTGAGGTTGCTTACACTTTCCGACGACAACCTTATCTCCGATGACTATCCGCAAGTCACAGAAAAAAGACGCTCCTAACAGCCAAGTCCAGAACTCCCTTGAAAAACGTCATATTTTTAAGTTTTCTTCAGCGTAAAAGCCTTTCATTGAGAGCTGTCTGTACACCCATGCATACATTTTAAACAGGAACTGCTAATAGATAATTCGGCATACTTATTATAGGTAGATACAATGTATTTCTGTGTTAGGGGGTGGGGGGAACTCCTCATTTACAAGAATCGCGTCTGTTCTTAATTAATGCTGATGTTGATCTAAATACTAAATTGTAGGCTACCATTATTACAGTTGTTCATGCTGTGTAATTTAAAGCTCGCTGGCGCTGAGAGAAGATGATGATGTATTGTGCAGCTTTTGAAAATTATATGTTTTCATTAGTCTACACTAGAGAGGGGAACACATGCATTTGTGAAATATATGTGGACATATGCATGTATATATATACACACACACACACACTAAATACCTAAAATTGTTTCTTTTTCACCATCTTCAATCCAAGCAAGCAAACAGTTTCCATTTTTCACACCAATCAAAGTTCATCTATACTTCCATCAGTCAATAATATAAAATCAGTCATTCAGTCTGTCTCTTTATAACATTCTGCCTCTTTTTTGATGCTTCGTTATTATATTACTTTGTGTTTCTATGCCATTTGCTCGTATTTATATATTACTTTGTTGGGATTTTTTTCTACAGATGCTTCCTGCTTGCACTTTCCCTTTGCTGCTGTAATGTTGCGAATTTCCCTGCTGTGGGACAAAGAAAGGATCATCTTATCTTATATTATCTTAGATAAAGTATAATCTTAATACACATAGGTGGTGTGTGTCGTGGTGTGTCTTCCTCAAGCTCGGGTTCTCTGCCAGAGGCCTGGGAGTTTGAGGGTTCTTTGTAGTATCTTACCTGTTCCTAGGACTGCACTCTTCTGGACTGAGACCTCAGATGTTGTACCTGGAATCTGCTGGAGCCATTCTCCCAGATTTGTGGGTCACAGCTCTGAGTGCTCTGATCACCACTGGCACCACTGTTGCCTTTACTCCCCACATCTTTTCTAGCTCCTCTTTCAGCCTTTGGTATTCTTCAGGCTTCTCGTGTTCCTTCTTCCTGATGTTGCTGTGACTCAGATTGCTACATCTATCGCCACTGCGTTCTTATGTTGTATGTCGATCAATCAGGATGGTTGGTTAGCCATAACCAGTTTGTCAGTCTGGATCTGGAAGTCCCACAGGATCTTAGCTTGGTCATTCTCAACCACCTTTGGAGGTGTCTTCCATTTGGACCTTGGGTCTCAGTACAGATGTTCCTGTACACTATGCCAGCCACTTGGTTATGGCATCCCATGTCTGCTGTTCCTGTCTGCATCTTACACCCTGCTATCATGTACTGAACTGTCTCAGGAGCGTCTTTACACAGCCTGTCTGGTGTGGCAGACCCCTGCTTCTACTCATCTATATATATAGCCTATCCCAGCTGACATTGGGTGAGAGGCTGGGTACACCCTGGACAGGTTGCCAGAATATCTCAGGTCTAACACATAGAGACAGACAACCATTCACACTCGCATTCACACCTAAGGGCACAACCTGAGGTGGGAGTTTTGAAGACGGTGGTGAGGGAGTCCTTCTCTGTGGAGTTTGCATGTTCTCCTCGTGTCAGCGTGGGTTTTCTGCGGGTCTTTGGCTTCTTCCTACCATCCAAACATGCTTATTTGGTGTCTCTAAATTACACACACACACACACACACACACACACACACACACACACACACATATATATATTTAGTGTATAAAAAGTTCACAGTTCTGGATTATTTTTCTTTGATCTGTCTTTTTGTGTCCTTGAGCTACAGCGCACTGCAACTGCAATTCTTCTTCTTATTCCTCATTTTTCCTGTCTTATTATTCTTATTTCATTCCAGTGTGATAAATTAGGTCCAAACGAGACTGTCTTGAGGGAGTAGTCAGATCACTACCTGAGCCTCTCATTGCACACAGAATGACTCAGAAGTGGGCAGGTTGAGCGGTAATAGGTGTGAAAAATGTAAACCGTTTGCCTGCCTGCATTAAAGATGGTGATAAAGAGCCATTGCTAACAATGAGAAAAAATGTCTCTTCTGAGTTTTAGCTGTTTAGTGTGTACTGTAGGTGTGTGTTTACGTGGATAGTGGAGTGTTAATGCGTGTGGGTGCAGCGTCCCAGTGTTCGTCTGCTCTAGTGTGCCTCAGTATTGTGCAGCCAGTTCATAGTTGCGATACTCAGCTGACTCATCAACTCACAACTCCTTTGTGTGTTGTGTCATTTGTATGCAAGGATCTGCCTGTCTTTTTTGTGTCTGCTACTTTGACTTTATGCCAGAGAGGTTTTTACACATGGAAAGCAGTTAGATATTGATAAAACACCTCTGCAAGGTTTGAGAACAGTTGAACTTTCCAGAGTGGACAGACTGTTCCTGTGTTTTTTCCCTCTCTTTGTTCTTTCATTTGCATAACATAGTTTGAAACATTTAAATTTACCCAAGAGATTATGCTTTTCCCCACGCCTCGGGCCTCACAGCGCCGAGATTAATAATGTATCTGTATCGCGGCACCTCTGATATGCCAAAACAAACAGACAAAAAAAGAGATAAACCATCAACAACAAAAGAGCTCGTCAAATCACTGCTGCTTAATGTGCTAAACTGGGCCAAGAACATTCATTTTGTTGCTCTGTTTACTGAGGCCTGGCAATAACAGATATGTCATTCCCTCAAGCAAATTTACATTTATAGTGTTACATTTTGTGTCACCTGCAATATTGAAAACACTCCTCCATAATAGCATTTCTGATCAAAACAGTCAAAAGCTGCAATTTTCTAACAGAGAGGAGTCTGAAGCATGTGTCAACAAGCAGATGTTTGCTGTCCTTTAAGACTCTTTTTTTTAATCAGTGCACTTTTTTTGCAAACAGACACAAAACAAGCTGTCAGTTGCCCCGCGGTGGTGAACAGAGTGTTGTGCAAAACTAAGTGACTTCAGCACAGAACAACTCCTGGCGGGGCTGACAAACACAGCAAAGTGAAATGCAATTAATTTGGCTCACAGCACAATAGCAGTGTGTTTATTATGAAAAGGCAGATGAGCTTATATCAAAGTTGACTGGGGACTGGGAGTTTTTTTGCTAAATAAATGCCACAGATAATATACTGACGCACTCCAGATGAACTCATTATCATCCCATTTTGCAATCTCTGTAGTCTCCAATCCTATTTTCATTCAATACTGCATTCGATGAGTCGATGCAAATTCCTGCCTGTGTAAAGTTCTTCTCGAAACTTTTAGATGTCTATTGGCAGGAAGTTCTGCACGTCTAACTCTTTGCTGTGATACTTTCATTGCAGTTCGGATCGTTATCATTCATTGTGTTTTTAAAGCCAATTGGTTTATATGGCATGGAAACTACTGGAATTAACTGCTTACCACGTTTAGGATGGCCCAGACGTGATTCATTAGCATGCATTACTGTGCAGTCCAGACAGCTCACAATGGGAAGGGACATATAAAAAAGATATATGCGAATGAGGAGCCATAAGCTGACATGATCTACAACCTTAAGATGGACTGTTTGGAGCAGACGCTGCATATATCTCTTCAGTTATACATCAGGGATCTCAAAAGTGACCTGATCTGCTTTTCTGGAGAAAAGTATGGAGGGATTTCAACACTTTGAATCAATGTAATTTACTTTTTTTTTAGTTACATGAGTATCCCTGATGCATCATGGGTAAACATCCATATTCCAATTTGAAATCATACAAAAAAGACACTTTTTGTAACTTCAGATTTTGTGTCACAATTATCAAATACAGATGTTATCTGCAGTTTCAAAAAAGTAATCTAGTTGATTTCCATCTGTTAATCTGTGGTTGCTGAGCAAGCTCACAAAGGGATGGGACATATTGAAAAGATATATGTGAATGAGGAGCCATAAGATGACATGATCTACAACCTTAAGATGGACTGTCTGGTGCAGATGCTGCATATATTTCTTCAGTTATACATCAGGGATCTCAAACGTGACCTGATCTGCTATTGGGATTTTAACACTTTGAATTCATAGCAGCGTGATTCACTTTTTCCAGTGATATGATGAAGGTATACATCCATAATCCACTTTGAAATCAAACACAAAAATACTTTGTAACTTCAGATCTTGTGTCATAATCATAAAACACAGATGTTACCTGCAGTTTCAAAAGCTATCTAGTTGATTTCTGTCCATACATCTGTGGTTACAGAGCAAACAGGAAGTGCTGGCATCTATTCAGGTTGACTCTCCACGATGCAGATTCACCAAAATGCTTAAAAAATAATGCTCATCACTAGAAAATAATCTATGCTTGAAATATAAAAGGCAGGACAGCACCTTTATCCATGAAATGTGGGCCTGTCCTTTAGTTTTACCTTCCTGGACAGAGATAATCAAAACAATACAAGAGCAGCCAGGTGTGCCTGTTCCTGAATCAGCTCAACTTTGCCTCTTGGGGGACAGGTCATGTCTACCCAAGATCTCCAAACCAGCATTTCCTCTAGCTCTGACAGGCGTTAT